CGGTGGGAGCATGGGAGATGCACCACCGCTCGACGAAGACGCGCCCGACGAAGCCCTGCTAGCGGAGGATGGGCGATCCTCACCTACTAGCGTCGGGCGTGTGCGAAAAAGCGCGCAAATCGGAGCTCAACTCGCGCGCGGCTGGGAAAGGGGTGTGGCACCCCTCCGAAGGCGCCTCGCGAGGAGCTGCTGCTGCCTCCAAACGCGCTCGGGCAGCACGTCGGCGCGCCTGCGGGGTTGGGGAGGTGAAACTATGCTTGCTGGCACGCGCATCCCGCACCACCCCCACGTCCGCGCGCACCATGCCGCCATCCCACCTCACAGCCAAGCGCCATCGCCGTCGGACGCGGCGACGCCGAGCGGTGGCCTCGCAGACGACGAGCGCGATGAGGCCGCCGCGCCGCCGGAGTGGCCGGCGCGTGCCAGCCGCTGGCCCGTCCAGCGTGGCGGGACCGGCTCGCCCATCCTGGCCCGCGCGTTGCCGACGCGAGAAGATCGCCGCGGGAGGGCAAATCTTGGGCAAAATGCCCTGTTTGCCAATCCTTCACGGCGACTTCACGTCGGAACGAGTCGGATCGACGACTCCCCGCCTGCACCAGCGTGTGCGCCTTGCAATTCTATACAGAATCGACACGTGGTACGTCTTCTCAATCGCTCGTGGAGAGGAGCTACGGCCATTCCTAAGTAGTGTTCAACGACGTTGAACAATGTTCAACGTCGTTGAACACGGTCCAGTAACCGCTGTGCGGCGAAGCACGCGGGCCACACGCACTCGCCTAGCCCCCGCTGCACCTCGAGACGGGCGGCGCCAGTCCCCGTCGCCACTTTCTATTTACCCAATTCAAGATAGATAGAGGGAAAATAAGAAATTCTTATTAACTCGTAGCACAAAAGGATCAAAACGGGTTCGCTTTTTCCTTCTGACTCTCTTTCGACTCTCTGGGGGGTGAAACGAACTCAGTCCACAATGTATATGGAGCTTGCGCAGGACGACCTGGCCGCGGACGCAGGCTGCGAGGAGAGCGAGGACGCGCAACCGCCTCCGCCCGCGGACGCACGCTGCGAGGAGAGCGAGGACGCGCAACCGCCTCCGCCACCACTCGAACGTGAAATATGCGTCCGCTTGGACCCGCAGAACGAGTGCTTCGACGTGCTTGACCGGCACGATGGGCTCGGGTACACGCTCTCCATGTCCG